AGGAACCGTAGTGATGGTATGGACAAAGGAGTGAAAATAATGGCAGAGGAGTGAGAGATGTGAAGAAGATTCAGAAATGCAGATGGTGATGTGGGATGGTGGGGCTGGGACTGAAGCACTTTTTCACTGGGCGACTTTTCGTATGGCCGCAGAACTGTTGTTTTATTAATCGCTGCACTTCCATAAAGACTGAATTACAAATGGACACTTTTAGAGGCAGTTGTTCAGATCTTGAATCCTGAGAATGCACTGGTTGTTTGTTGGTTTTTTTTCCCTCTTCTGTCCATTGCCTTCTTGTTTTCCTCCCAGGTGCCTTCTGTTTTGTTTGCTCCAAGCCATCTCATGTCTCTTCTGACACTCGGGATCAACTCTGCCATGGTGCTCGACTGTGGATATAAAGAAAGCTTGGTGCTGCCTGTATCCTTTCCTAATGCAGAATGAAAGCTTTCAGCAAGAAGGCTGTGGTGAAAAGCTGGTGTACAGACATGGAGTGTGACTGGATCAGCTGATCCAGCTTTTGTTTCTAAGATGTCAGAACCTGGGGAATGTCCTCACAGCTGCCATGTGAAGTCTGTGTCCTGTAAAGCTTGGGAAAGGCGTTACGGGGCTCCAAGGTTGATTTGTAGCTCCATGGTTTGTACAGTAGTAGTTAGTTTTGGAGAAGGACAGCAAGTGCTGGAAAATGTGGATGAGAAACAGCGTTCAGTTCCAGCAGGCTGGAAGCTCCTGTGAGAAAAAGAGAATTTCCTGATCTTGGTGCAGATTTATGAGGGAACTCCAATTCTGAGCTGCTGGGGTTCTCTGCCTTTGGGAGGAAAAGCCATCCACAGGTAAGTTTGCAGCTACGTGTCCCTGCTTATGGCAATCCAATCTCCTTCAGTCTAGATTTAAGAGTGTAGCTGAAGTGAGTGAATGGTGTATGATGAGCATAAGATGGGGAGCAATCACGTGTCGCTGGCTGTCCTGACCTGACTTAATTTGCCCTGTTTCAGGGAGCTGGAATACCGGCTGTTGGAGCAGTGCACAGTTGATACAGGATTAGCCAAAGGCCAAAGCCTTCCGTCTGTCATGGGTAAGGGCTGGGTGCTGCACTGTGCTGGGAACAGTGATGTCTTCATCACAGCTCACGCGGTCTTCTCTGGTGACTTCTGTCTCCCTGTTAAAGTATGGTACTGCTATACTCAGCCTCTTGTACCAAAGTTGGGAAGGCAGCTCAGATGAAATTTCTGTAGGAAGGTTTCATTGTCTTCTGAGAGAAGGCCAACTTCCTGTTCTTCATCTGAGAAATCTGTACAGGCCTCAGTCAAGGTGAAACCTTAAGTATCCTAATTGGAATTAAAAATTAATTTGACTATGAAATGCTCTTTTTGCTTTCCAAGCTTTTGTTCTCAGTGTTGTTGTTGTTGCTGTTGCAGGCTCTGTTCCAGAAGACATAGTTGAGGATATAAAAGGTAAAACTTTCTGCCATGAGTTTATTAAATTGTGTAGTAGAGGAGAGTGTGGTGTCCAGTGTTGAGGACTTTGTGTTTAGCTGTTTATCACATTAGATTTTTTTGCACTTTGTGCCTTCCGGAAGCTCTGTCAATGTTTTTCCCCTCTGAAGGCAAGCACCAATCATCATTGAGTTCTCATTTAGGTGTAGTCTTTGTGCTGCCTAGAGAGAGTTCATAGTTAGGTAGACTAATGCAGTGGGAGCATTGTGCTGTCAGGTCTAGCTTACCATCAGCAGGTTAGGTTAACTTGGTGGTCAGGCTGAACCAAAGGGTTACTTTACACCAGAAAAACGTAGGGTATATATTTGGGCAGAACTTAAATGATCTCCTATGTAATGTTTATTGTGTTTCTACATTATATAAGAATATTTATAGAATTGTAGGTAATGGCCCATGTTACTGTATATATGTGGTATATGTCTTCTGGACCAAACTAGGAAGAATCCATTGGTCAAGTGCAAAATATCTTGAATGCTACTGGTGCTTTCTTAAATGGAAATTGTTTTCTAATTCCTGGACTGTCTTACTGGAAGACAGTTGTCTGATTGGTTTTGAGACAGTCTCTTGTGATCAGATGTGAAAAATTAGGGTTGAAATTAGAATTGCTTTTGTATTGATGTGGGATTGTTTAAAGGGATCAGTGTCTTGTGGGAAGCTGTGGTGCAAGACGTGGTGTGGTGTGTTGGACCGCAGAGTTCAGCCCATGCCACCTCATGGTAACCAGAGGCACAGTGAACGATGTCTCTCTGTCTTTACATTGTATTTGGCTTTTTGGAGAGAAATTTTGCCTAGGTGCAGTGCCAGCTTCATTAACACTTGGGACCTGGGTACATCTCAGCTCAGCTGAGGTACAGAAGCTTGGTTGGTTGTTTGTTCACTTTTTTCTAGTGGCAGGACCTAGAATGTGTTCTGTGAATGAAACAAAATTGTCTGTCCTGTTGATTCAGTGAATTCTCTCTTCTGTGCCTTTGTTTTCTGAAGTTCGCACTTGTTTTGTGAGTGATCTCCAACGTGGACTGAAAATCCGAGCAGCCAAGTTCAACATTGATGGCAGTGCTGAGGTGAGTGGAGAATGAAAGTCCCTCTGATGTTTCCTGAAGTGGCCGTGACCGTTCTGGCCTTGAAAGCAACACATCTTTCTATTTGTAGCGTCCTTTGCCGCCTCCAGATGTGGACTATCCTTTGGATGGTGAAAAGATTCTCCATGTAGTTGGCTCCATCCGGTAGGAAATACTGTAGTGCAGTGTTTGTCCTTAGGAGGATATCTTTTCAGAAGCAAGTGGGTTTTTATACAACTGAGCTACATTGAAGCAGTTGCTTTTTTGTCTCTTAACCCGAGCATTTGGTGCCAGGTGCAACGCAAGCATGCTAAAAGCTTTCTACTTCCCCAGGGCGTTCACAATTGAAGATGAGAGCCAATGGATCAGAGAGATGGGGGAGGACACAAATAGAGAATGAGTAAATGGTGGTGAGACACGTGGAGTGAGTGAGGCTTTGGCACCTCCTGGTGTTTGCAGTGTGTGACAGAAGTGATGTTGTGCTGTCAGGAAGGAGTCTGTGGTTTCTACCCTGCTGGCAGCAGTGCTACTCTATGAGCTAACACTCCTCTCCTGTCTTTTCAACAGAGACTCAGTTGCAGAAATACTGTTTGAACAGGATAATGAAGAGACTTCTGTTGCCACTTTGATCTTAGATTCACTCATTCAGGTATCTTCTTAATACAGACAAGACCTTGCACACCTCTAGCCTCAGAATCTGCTCTTAGAAATGGTTCTTGCAGTGCCGTCCCCCTGACTACAGGTTGCAGTCAGCACAACGTGACTCCTCAGGTTGTGCCCTGTAATGAATTCCTGTGGGGCAGTGAGTCACTGTGTCTCATTCCCTCTGTGGTTTCTTTGTACTCTCTGGTACGTTGCAGTTTTTTTGGGACAGTTTTCAGTCAAGAAAAGAAGCAGTGCAGTGCTCTCTCCTCAGTGGAAGCCCTGAGTTACATGCAAGTAATTGGGGTACTTTTATTCCAGGTGATATTTTAGAGATATTGTGGAACAATTTCTTAGGCAAAAATTATGAAAATGTATTAAAAAAACCACAATAAATAGAAATCTTATATGGTGTTGTGCTTGTGTCTGTATGTAGTAGTTCAAGTTGGGATCCTCTAGTTATTAGTGCCATCGAAGTTAGCTTTCTGCATTGTGATTTATTGGAGAACGATAGACTTGGATGACAAGGCAATCATTTCAGTTAGAATTCCTTATGAAAACAAATGCATACCTGTTCCTGGACCCCTCATCTCTCTCTAGCAAAGACCAGGGTTAAAGTCACAAATGTTAAATAGTATGTGGCTATTTCTGCCAGGCAAGAGAACTACAGCAATTTGGAAATCAACGTTTGTTTTTCAAGTGATAGTGCAGATTTGCTTGTGAGAGGTAAAACTGAGAAAGCTTGCTTTTGTCATGCCTTTGTGTCTCCTACTTAGAACCTGATGCCCAGGAAAAGCTGTAGCAGAAGCCTGTTCTGCCTCTGAGACTTCTTAACACCTTTCTCCATGTGCAGCTAAAAGAAAGTTGAGCTCATATTTCACAGCTTTGCTCCTCTGAGAGCTTTGGCATTTCTTCTCCCAGAACTGATAGGAATTCATGGCACTGATACCCCAGGCATCTTTTATCTTGGCCAGACTCAGCTGAAGGGATTTACAGTGACTCACAGTGTTCTCATGTCAGCATCAACTGGGCAGTTCCTTTGCCTGGTCTTCTGGTGAAATCTGGGTAGAAAATGATGTAGATGTTTTCTCCTTGGCTGAAGCAAGTAGTTGAAGTGCCTAGAACAACTGCCTGCATTTCTGAGAGGCCTTTGAAAACATCTGTGTGCAACTGGCATTGAAGTGCTTTTTTTCTTTTCAATTCCCTTTCTTTTTAGTGTCCCATAGACACCAGGAAGCAGTTGGCAGAGAACTTGGTGGTTATGGGTGGCACTGCCATGTTGCCGGGGTTCCTGCACAGGCTGATGGCTGAAATCAGGTACCTGGTAGAAAAACCGAAATACAGGGAGGTGCTTGCGACCAAAACCTTCAAAGTTCACACTCCACCTGCCAAAGCCAACTATGTGGCGTGGCTGGGAGGTAAGAATGGGAGCAGCTTTTGGAGCATGGGTCCTAAGTGGGAAAACAGACCTTGCAAGTGGGGTTTGTAATGAATAAGTGGCAGTAAAGCTTAGCTGAACTGTTGGAAGCGAGCTGCACCTGATGTGTGTGGAGTTGTGAAGTCCTCCTGGAAGAAAACACTGCAGGCTGCAGCTGCCTTGTGGGGTGCAGTGCAGGATGGCACTGCAGGCTTTGGGAACTTGGAGCCGGTGGCTTGCAGTTTGAAACAGCGGGGTGGGAGCGAGTG